TGGATTAAATGCTCCAACCAAAAGACATCGATTGGCTGAATGGATACAAAAACAAGACCTGTATGTATGCTGTCCACAAGAGACCCAATTCAGACCGAGGGACACAAACAGACTGAAAGTGAGAGGATGGAAAAAGATACTCCATGAAAATGGGAATCAAAAGAAAGCTGGAGTAGCAAATCTCATATCAGACAAAACAGACTTTAAAACAAAGACTATTATAAGAGACAAAGAAGGACACTACATAATGATCAAGGGCTTAATCCAAGAAGAAGATATAACAATTGTAAATATTTATGCACCCAACGTAGGAGCACCTCAATATATAAGGCAAATACTAACAGCCATAAAAGGGGAAATCGACAGTAACACAATCATAGTAGGGGACTTTAACAGCTCATATTCACCAATGGACAGATCATCCAAAATGAAAAAAAATAAGGAAACACAAGCTTTAAATGATACACTAAACAAGATGGACTTAATTGATATTTATAGGAAATTCCATCCAAAAACAACAGAATACACATTCTTCTCAAGTGCTCATGGAACATTCTCCAGGATAGATCACATCTTGGGTCACAAATCAAGCCTTGGTAAATTTAAGAAAATTGAAATCGTATCAAGTATCTTTTCTGAGCACAACACTAGACTAGATATCAATTACAGGAAAAAAATCTGTAAAAAATACAAACACATGGAGGCTAAACAACACACTACTTAATAAATAAGAGATCACTGAAGAAATCAAAAAATACCTAGAAACAAATGACAATGAAAACACGACAACCCAAAACCTATGGGATGCAGCAAAAGCAGTTCTAAGAGGGAAGTTTATAGCAATACAATCCTACCTTAAGAAACAAGAAACATCTCAAATAAACAACCTAACCTTACACCTAAAGCAATTAGAGAAAGAAGAACAAAAAACCCCAAAGTTTGCAGAAGGAAAGAAATCATATAGATCAGATCAGAAATAAATGAAAAAGAAATGAAGGAAACAATAGCAAAGATCAATAAAACTAAAAGCTGGTTCTTTGAGAAGATAAACAAAATTGATAAACCATTAGTCAGACTCATCAAGATAAAAAGGGAAAAGACTCAAATCAATACAATTAGAAATGAAAAAGGAGAAGTAACAACTGACACTGCAGAAATACAAAGGAACATGAGAGATACTACAAGCAACTATATGCCAATACAATGGACAACCCGGAAGAAATGGACAAATTCTTAGAAATGCAAAACCTTCCGAGACTAAACCAGGGAGAAATAGAAAATATAAACAGACCAATCACAAGCACAGAAATTGAAACTGTGATTAAAAATCTTGCAACAAACAAAAGCCCAGGACCAGATAGACGGCTTCACAAGTGAATTCTATCAGACATTTAGAGAAGAGCTAACACCTATCCTTCTCAAACTCTTCCAAAACATAGCAGAGGGAGGAACACTCCCAAACTCATTCTACAAGGCTACCATCACCCTGATACCAAAACCAGACAAAGATGTCACAAAGAAAGAAAACTATAGGCCAATATCACTGATGAACATAGATTCAAAAATCCTGAACAAAATACTAGCAAACAGAATCCAACAGCACATTAAAAGGATCATACACCATGATCAAGTGGGGTTTATCCCAGGATTGCAAGGATTCTTCCATATATGCAAATCAATGTGATACACCATATTTACAAATTGAAGGAGAAAAACCATATGATCATCTCAATCGATGTGGAGACAGTTTTCCACAAAATTCAACACCCAGAAAGTAGGCATAGAGGGAACTTTCCTCAACATAATAAAGGCCATATATGACAAACCAACAGCCAACATCATCCTAAATGGTGAAAAACTGAAACCATTTCCACTAAGATCAGGAACAAGACAAGGTTGCACACTCTCACCACTCTTATTCAACATAGTTTGGGAAGTTTTAGCCACAGCAATCAGAGAAGAAAAAGAAATAAAAGGAATCCAAATCAGAAAAGAAGAAGTAACGCTGTCACTGTTTGCAGATGACATGATACTATACATAGAGAATCCTAAAGATGCTACCAGAAAACTACTAGAGCTAATCAATGAATTTGGTAAAGTAGCAGGATACAAAATTCATGCACAGAAATTTCTTGCATTTGTATACACTAATGATGAAAAATCTGAAAGTGACATTAAGAAAACACTCCCATTTACCATTGCAACAAAAAGAATAAAATATCTAGGAATAAACCTACTTAAGGAGACAAAAGACCTGTATGCAGAAAATTATAAGACACTGATGAAAGAAATGAAAGATGATACAAATAGATGGAGAGATATACCATGTTCTTGGATTGGAAAAATCAACATTGTGAAAATGACGCTACTACCCAAAGCAATCTACAGATTCAATGCAATCCCTATCAAACTACCACTGGCATTTTTCACAGAAGTAGAACAAAAAATTTCACAATTTGTATGGAAACACAAAAGACCCCGAAGAGCCAAAGCAATCTTGAGAAAGAAAAATGGAGCTGGAGGAATCAGGCTCCCTGACTTCAGACTATACTACAAAGTTACAGTAATCAAGACAGTATGGTACTGGTACAAAAAAAGAAATGTAGATCAATGGAACAGCATAGAAAGCCCAGAGATAAACCCACGCACATATCTTATCTTACCTTATCTTGATAAAGTAGGCAAGAATACACTGTGGAAAAAAGACAGCCTCTTCAATAAGCGGTGCTGGGAAAACTGGACAGCTACATGTAAAGGAATGAAATTAGAACACTCCCTAACACCATACACAAAAATAAACTCAAAATGGATTAAAGACCTAAATGTAAGGGCAGACACTATAAAATTCTTAGAGGAAAACATATGCAGAATACTCTATGACATAAATCACAGCAAGATCCTTTTTGACCCACCTCCTAGAGAAATGGAAATAAAAACAAAAGTAAACAAATGGGACCTAATGAAACTTAAAAGCTTTTGCACAGCTTTAAAAACAAGCTTAAATAAACAAGAGGAAAAGACAATTGTCAGAATGGGAGAAAGTATTTGCAAATGAAGCAACTGACAAAGGATTAATGTCCAAAATTTCCAAGCAGCTCACGTAGCTCAATATCAAAGAAACAAAGAACCCAATCCAACAACGGGCAGAAGACCTAAATAGACATTTCTCCAAAGAAGATATACAGATTGCCAACAAACACATGAAAGAATGCTCAACATCATTAATCATTAGAGAAATGCAAATCAAAACTACAATGAGATATCATCTCACACTGGTCTGAATGGCCATCATCAAAAAATCTAGAAACAATAAATGCTGGAGAGGGTGTGGAGAAAAGGCAACCCTCTTGCACTGTTGGTGGGAATTAAATTCATACAGCCACTGTGGAGAACAGTATGGAGGTTCCTTAAACAACTAAAAATAGAACTACCATATGACCCAGCAATCCCACTACTGGGCATATACCCTGAGAAAACCATACTTCGAAAAGAGTCATGTACCAAAATGTTCATTGCAGCTCTATTTACAATAGCCAGGACGTGGAAGCAACCTAAATGTCCATCGACAGATGAATGGATAAAGAAGATGTGGCACATATATACAATGGAATATTACTCAGCCATAAAAGGAAATGAAATTGAGTTAGTTGTACTGAGGTGGATGGACCTAGAGACCGTCATACAGAGTGAAGTTAGTCAGAAAGAGCAAAACAAATACCATATGCTAACATATATATATGGAATCTAAAAAAAAAAAAAGGTCATGAAGAACCTAGGGGCAAGATGGGAGTAAAGACGCAGTCCTACTAGTGAATAGACTTGAGGATATGCGGAGGGGGAAGGGTAAGCTGGGACAAAATGAGAGAGCGACATGGACATATATACAGTACCAAACGTTAAACAGATAGATAGCTAGTGGGAAGCAGCCCCATAGCACAGTGAGATCAGCCTGGTGCTTTGTGACCAGCTAGAGGGGTGGGATAGGGAGGGTGGGAGGGAGGGAGACGCAAGAGGGAAGAGATATGGGGACATATGTATATGTATAACTGATTCACTTTGTTATAAAGCAGAAACTAACACACCATTGTAAAGCAATTATACTCCAATAAAGACGTTAAAATAATTTTTTTTAATAAATAAATAAAATAAAATGCCTGACAGCGTACCTGTTTGGAAGCAACAAGTGGTAGTAATAGTAATAGCAGTAGATATAGTAATAATAGTGATCTAGGGTGGCCTCGGTCTGCAGCGGCTTGAAGCAGGATTTTGGTTCCCAGCCAGAGATTAAAGTCAGGCCGCGACAGTCAGAGTGCTGAATCCTAGGCACTAGACCAGTGGGCAGTGACAAAGCCCTGGCCCGTACAGCTCTGCAGAAATGAATTCCCACAAAGACAGAAAGTAGTGAAACAAGTAAAGTGTTTATTAGGAGGAAAAAGGGTACCTATGGATAGACACACCGGGGGGCTCAGAGAGAGAGTCGCACCCTCGTGGTAGTTTGATGCACTTTTATGGAGCATTTCTTCCAGGTTTCCTTGGCCAATCATCTTGCTTTGCCTGACCTGAGCTTGTATTTGATATTTCTCAGGGTCCTCCCACGTGTGTGCGCACATCTCTTGGCCAAGATGGATTCTAGCGAAGAGGCCTATGGGTAGCCTGACATCACCTACTATGGGGTGGCGCCCCCTCCCTTTTCGACCTTCAAGGATCCTTTGTGCATGTGTGTAGTCAGGAAGGTCTCCTCCTTCGAGAATGAGGAATATGTGGTCTTTTATCTTTTGTCTGGGCAGGGCTTAGCTTCTCCTCCCTCCTGCTATTTTGGAGTATCTGTCCACAGGGGACGAGCTCCAACTGTTCAGCCTGGGACCCATCTATCTCCTGCCTCAACAGCAGTAGTAGTAATATTATTATATTAAGTAATATTATTTAAAAATATTACTTAACAAATTATATTATTGTTTAATATTTTATTATTAAATGTTATATCTGCTAAAATGACTCACCATTTTCTTTCACCTTTATCAAATTTTCTTTCAATTTCTCAATTTCTAGTTGAGACTTCTCAAGTGCAGAATCTAAAAGAAAAAAAGAACAAAATATTTGTGTATGGAGCAACTGATTAGTATAATAATCAAATTTCAAACGACTATTTCTCTTTGGAACACTTTCTGATGGCTGTCCCCTGACTTTCTGCATAAATGTCACCTCCTCCCGGAATGTTTTCCAGATTCCCCTCTTAATATTCCTACTACACCTTATATTTATCCCTGTCCTTGATATCATCTGATCTTGTAATCTTTCCCTGTTTCCCTAACCAGATTCTATGCTGAAGAGTTTGGACTACTGTAAACAACAGGAACAGCTGAAAGTTTTTAAGCACGGTACTACCAGTTTAGTAAAAAGAAATTACACACAGAAATACTTAAAATTAATTCCTGCAATTAATAATATTTAGAATTTTGCCAGTAGTTTCTAGAAATATCAAAATAGCAAAATTTCAGGAAATAGCTTTTGGTACTATTCAAGAATTTTATGAGGAGAGCAGAAGGGCGTAAGGAAAGTACATGGGGCATTGGAGTCTTTTGGATTTGGGTGCTCTAACCCAGGTCTAATCACTTTGCCTCCTGTGGTTTACTCATCACCAATGGTATGGCTGATAGGCTTTCTATAACGGCAAGTTGAGGAATCTCCCAGAAGTAAGACACTAACATGAATCTTGTAAGAGATCATTCCCAATCACACAGAAAAGGTGCACGAGGAAATCAGGCACAAGCTTCCAAGAGTCTTCTCCCAGCGGAGTCACACAGGATGTGCTTAATTTCTCCAGCAACGAATTGACAATTCGTGTGAAATGTTGTCTACCAGGAAAATTCATTACAGACTTGGTGACCAACATATTTATTGGGGGCTGGTGACATAGACACCACCTTCTGCCTAGGACACATCAAAATCCCAGACTCTCAGAAGGAAAGCAGGTTTTCAGCATAAATCATATTGTTTGTACAAAGAGGTCAAGCACAGTGAGCCACTATTACAAATTGGGGAATGCTGGGAACCTTCCCCAAATGCAAGTTTCCAGATGCTAGCCAAGGGCTAACCTGACAAGCAGACTTTCTAAGGACAGCAGTGTCAAGTTTTCTTCTTCTTTTTTTTTTACATCTTTATTGGAGTATAATTGCATTACAATGTTGTATTAGTTCCTGCTGTACAATAAATTGAATCAGCTATATGGATACATGTATCCCCATATCCCCTCCCTCTTGAGCCTCCCTCCTACCCTCCCTATTCCTCCACCCCTCTAGGTCATCACAAAGCATCGAGCTTATCTCCCTGTGCTATGCAGCAGCTTCCCACTAGCAGGTTTTCTATATTAACTATTTTCTGCACAGGATGGATATACCACGTTATGTTTATCTACTCACCAAATGATGGACGTTTGAGTTGTTTCTATGTTTTGGCTACTGTAAATAATAGTGCTCTGAACATTCACATACAAGGTTTATTTTTAAATTTATTTTATTGAAGTGTAGTTGACTTACAATGTTGTGTTAATTTCTCATACAAGTTTTTGAGTGGACATACGTCTTCATTTCTCCTGGGTCACGCAGGAGTGGAATTGCTGGGTCACATGATAATTTTACATTTAACACCTCGAGAAACTGCCAAATTGTTTTCCAAAGTGTCTGCATCATTTTACAATCCCATCAGCAATGTTCCAATTTCTACACTCCTTGCCAACACTTGTCATTGTCTTTTTTTATTATAGCCATTCTAGAGGGTGTGAAGAGGGATCTCATTGTTTTAATTTGCACTTCCCTAATGACCAATGATGTTGAGCATCTTTTCATGTGCCTATTGGCCATTCATATACCTTCTCTAAAGAAATGTCTACTCAAATTTTATTTTGTTTATTTTAAAATTGGGCTGTCTTTTTGTAATAATATAAAAGAATATGTGAGAATTCTTCATATATTCTGGATATGAGTCCCACATCAAACACATAATTTGCAAATATTTCTCTCAGTCTATGGTTTGTCTTTTCACTTTCTTGTTAGTATATTTTGAAATACAGAAATTTTAAACTTTGAATAAGTACAATTTCTTAGGTTTTCTCTTATCACTCTTGCTTTTGGTGTTATATCTAACATATGATTGCCTAACTCCAGATCGTAAGGATTTACTCCTGTGTTTTCTTCTAAGCATTTTATAATCTTAACTCTTACATTTAGTTCTGTGGTCCACTTTGAGTTAATTTTTGTGTGGGTGTGAGGTAGGGGCCTGTATTATTTTGAAGCATCTCCCAGACATCATATCATTCATCTATAAATATTTCACTATGTATGTCTAAAAGATAAGGACTCTTCTAAAATATAAACTCAATACCATTATGTGTGATTAAGGAAATTTAACAAGAATTCCTTAATACAAATAGCCAATTAGCATTCAAACTTCCAACTGTTTCATAAATGTTAAAAAACCTGTTTGAATCAGAATCCAGTAAAGGCCACACATTATATTTGGTTAATAATTCCTTCAAACCTTTAAAAATTCATCTTTTTCTTGTGATTTATTTATTGGAGAATAAATAAATATTTGGCGTGTATTCTTTTTTATTATTGAAAATTACTTTTATTATTGGCCAAAATTTTTCATTCCCATCCAAATTTTTGGGTGTGATATAAAGAGAGCTAGAAAATAAACTAAAATAAAGTCCTTCATTTAAAAGAGTCAGTTTGTTGAAATAAATAGGCTAATACTTGGGAAACACTATCATGTAACACATACACCTAGGGATAAATTCTGGCTTATATAAATTGATGGATGATTCAAGAAGTAACACGTAAAACCCACACTGACACTACATGTGATATTTTAAAAGGACTTGCTAACTCAGCTTGCCAGCGGTCCCCTGGGGATACTCACTGTGCAGACAGTTTTCAATTAATAGTTTAGGATCCACCAGAGCAACCAAGTGCTGATGGAACAGGGTGCTATGTGATTGTGTTCTGCTGCATCCAAATGTAACTAAACATAACAGGGCTCCTGCTCTTTCCTTTGTCCTTCTGTACTACAAGTAGCAGACTGCTTCTCATTAGACTCACGTGGCCAAATTTCTTTTTTTCTCTAATTGGGTTTATTGAGATAATACTTTGCATACAGTAAAATTCATCCTTTTAAGTAATTTGATGAATTTTGACAAATATATGCAATTGTGTACCCATTCGCCCAATTTTCCATCATTCTGAAAAGGTCATTTGTGTTCACTGTTTAAAATGCATTCTTAACAAAATCTCAACCCTCCTGATATTCTTTGTTTTTAATTCCACAATCAATTTGGCAGGATCATTATTGTTTTATACATTTAACATTTCTAAGAAATGATCCTACAGTAACATATATACTGCATGAAAAAGAATCAGTCTAATTTCTTTAATTATTGCAAATTATATAGAGAGGAAATCATTTAAAAAATTTAAACTTCATGCTAAAATAAATTATAGATAAAGCAAAGATTGAAACATAAATAATAAATCCATAAACGCACTAAAAGAAAAAAAAAACACCAGAGGAGAACATTTTCAATAATCGTGTAGTGATACAGAAAAGGCTTTACACATGAAAACCCAGACGCCATAAAGAATAACTTGGTTAAATCTGATTTGATAAATATTAGCATTTCTATATGGCAAAAAAACTTAACATGACATTTATATCCAACAAAAGGCTCATATCCAGAATATACAGAAAACTCCTACAAATTAATAAACTCCTACAAAACATAAAGATACAACCCAATAGAAAAATATGTGCAAGACTTGAGCAGGAACTTCACAAAATAGTATATCTAAATGAGCAATAACAACAACAACAAACATGTTAAAGGATTTTCACATCGTTAGCTGTCAGGGAAATGCAAAGTAAAGCCACAATTAAATACTAGTACATACTCATCAGAAAAGGTAAAATTAATAAGACTGACAATACTGAGTATTGATAAAGAATGTGAAGCAACCAAAATCTCATATACAACTAAGAAGACCTTAAGTTAATACAACTATTTGGAAGACAGTATGGCAGTATCTACCAAAGTAGAACAAACCCGTAACCCTTTGATCTACTAATTCTACTCTTAGGAATGTCATGATCAGAGATGTACAGATAAGCACAAGAATATTCATAGCAGCAAAATTCATAATAGAGCACAACTGGAAACAACATAATTGTCCATCATCAGTAGAATGGATAAATAGAATACATTGAGTAGGCTTATTCAATGGAACACTAGAGTACAAACAACAAAAGTGAACAAACTACTGCTACATGCAACAACATAAATGAATCTCACAAACATAAGATTGAACGAAAGAAACAAACTAAAGGATGCATACTCCCTGTAGTCAAAACTCAGAAATAACCTTAAAAGTTAGGAGAGTCATTATTTTTGGGGAGGAGAGAATATGTAGACATAGGAAGAAGGAACAGGGCTTCCAGACTGCTGGAGATTTCTTGCACTGGGTAGTGTAAATATTGGAGTTGTACACTTTTTGGTAGGTATGTTATGCTATGCTTCAATAAAAATTTCTGGACACTGTAGAAAATGAGGCTGTATATCAGACTTTTATGTGTTTATCTTAAAAGATTTTTTTTCTCAGTGCTCTCATGTTCCAACCTGAGTAGGATCACTACACTTAAAACATTGTTAGACATGTTCATCTGTAACCACAGCTTACCTAATTTACTCTGTTCTTTCTCCTTCCCTTGCAGTTCATCAGTGAGCCTTCGGATCTCTTCGTGGGCCATCCCTAACCTCCTTGTTACTTGTTCCATATCTTTCTCTCTGCAGTTTTGTGATATTTTACCTTTTTCTGGGTCTTCATCATGGGACTGAAATAAAACCATTGTTAGTAGTACACCAAAAAGTAAATATACCCTTATGACATCGTGCTATTACCTAAAAATGTTTGAAAGCCAATAAAGAAGAGTAGCAAACAGAATATTTACGTGCATTTATTTTATTAGGTTGAACCATAGAAAAATGGTGATATTTGATTGTTTTTAACCTATAAACATGCAATTTCACAAGGTTCAAACCTAACATATCTAAGAGATTATGGTTATATAATAGAAATTTAATGATAAAAATTATCATCTGGCCAAAGAGAGTGAAAATACTCATTTATATGGTAATTAAATATAGTTTATAAAATGCCTTTACATAAGGTATTTCATTTAATTTCAAGGTATGTACACAATTAAGGCTCAAATCATGTTTAGAGCTCCTTTCCTACAATTACTTTCAAAGCATTTTAAAAACTAAGTAAGAAATTCAACCTCAATGATATTTTGCTTTTGATCCCCGAGATATGTATTTATTTTATATGAATATAATCATTACACAAATTTTTCTAAAAAATAAGAAAATAACCAATACCATCTACATAACAAAACTATTTTTAGCTTACTGGTATATTTCCTTGCAGTATTTTTTATTTATGTACATTCTTTACATAGTCATAATCCTAATCTATATACACGTTTCTGTCTGGCTTTTTCATTTAACATTATATGAGGAACATTTTTCTATATTGCTGTACAGATTTTGTAATGATTATTTTTAAAGGCTATATAATATTCCAGTGGGTGCAGATAATTTATATAATCATTTCAACATTTTGGTAGTTTCCAATTTTTGCTATTGAAAATAATACTATGATGGATATACAGTTTCATCCATATATATTTATCTTGGGTTACTTCCCATTGTTAAACTCTCTGTATATGTTTTATTCACTGGATGTAGCTCTTAATAACATTTATTCACTGGATGTAGCTCTTAATAACATTTCCCCAGATCAAAAACTAATTTCTACAAACAGAATTAATTATATGTAAAATAATGTGCTATACAGTCTAAAGGACTCCCCCGCCAAAAGAAGCTCCAAACGTATTTGGGAAGAAGTGTGTACTGTCCCAAGGTGATTTTTCAAAGGACATAACACACATCGATTGTTTAAGCTTTGATACATTCAATAAAAATCAGCTATTGTGTTAAATGGGTGATTGACTTTTTTCTTCTTCCCAAATTTTTGTGATGTGTTTATAATACTCTTATGCACAACTGATATCTTTTAGCATGGATTTGTACATTTTAATATATTCAAACAAAATACTTCCAAGATAAAAGCTAACCTGTAACTAGCTACTATTATTAAGAAAAGATTGTAATTTTTTCTTACCTCACTCAGACTTTTTTTAAACTGATGCACAAGTTCTTGATGTTTCTGATGTTCCCTTTGCAGAGGCTGGTGAGTTTGTTCAAATTTCTCCTAAGTAAATATGAAGAGGTGAATGAAAATTACATCAATCAGCTTCATGAATAAAAATGTCATTTAAATTTTAAAAAATAACCACGTAAAAAAAGAGGGAGCACAGTCCAATCTATTTTATGAAGCGAGACCATGCATTCTCAATGAGACAATATTGCCCCCAAGGGAGTGCAAACTGATTTCTAGGGGGGGAAAAATCTTACCCTTTCAAGTACAAAGTGCAGATGCCTACAGTACAAAAATAGAATTACTTTATATCAGTGCCATTAAAATTTCATGGGAGAGAGACAGAAAAAATTATCTAAGAAGTGTCATTATTGGGTTTCCCTGGTGGCATAGTGGTTAAGAATCCGCCTGCCAATGCAGGGGACACAGGTTCGAGCCCTGGTCTGGGAAGATCCCACATGCCGTGGAGCAACTAAGCCCATGCACCACAACTACTGAGCCTGCTCTCTAGAGCCCACAAGCCACAACTACTGAGCCTGTGCGCCTAGAGCCCGTGCTTCGCAACAAGAGAAGCCACTGCAATGAGAAGCCTGTGCACTGCAATGAAGAGTAGCCCCCACTCGCCGCAACTATAGAAAAGCCCAAGCACAGCAAGGAAGACCCAACGCAGCCAAAAATAAAATAAATTAAACAAACAAAATAAAAGAAACTTTAAAAAGTGTCATTATGGAGGCAATAATGAAAAAAAAGGTTGGCTAACACTGGCTAGCCAGACCTTGATATTAAAGCCTGACAACGATAATACAAAAAGAAAACTCACAGGGCAACCTCACTCATAAACATAGATACAAAAACGTAAACAAAATTTTATCAAACTGAATCTATAATATTTAGAAAGGATAACAAATCATGAACAAGTTGGATTTATCCCAGGAATGCAAGACATTAGAAAAATTAATCAATGAAATTCTCACATTAACAGATGAAAGTTCTAAATTACTTCATTATCTCAATGGCTATAGAAAAAACATTTTATAAACTCAACATTAATTCCTAATAAAAGCTCTTAACAAACTAGGAATGAAAGAGAACTTTCTTAACCTGGCAAAGGGTATCATTAAAAAAAAACCCCAACCCTTAATCAAACATCATACCACTGAATACTTTTTCTCTAATATCATTAACCAGACAAGTATGTCTCCTATTCAAGATAATACTGGAGATCCTAGCCAGTATAGTAAGGTAAATAAAAGAATTAAAAGGAATCAAATTGGAAAGGAAGAAACGAAAGTATCATTATTCCCAGATAGGACTGTACAGGTAGAAAAAATTTTAAATCTTCAAATAAATTATTAAGATGAGAAATTTTAGCAACATTGGTAAGTATAGTCAATATATAAAAATAATTATACTTTTAATACTAGCAATCATTAGAAAATTAAATTCTTAATAAATATAGCATTAATAGTACCCAAAAATATGAAGTACCTAGCAATAAATATTTTAAAAATGTGCAAGATTTTGTAGGGAAAATTATAAAACTTTGTTTATATACATTAAAAAATAAATGGAAAGACAGTCCATGATCACAAATGATATCAATAATTTAAGATAATCAATTCCTCTTAAATTGATTTATAGATTCAATAAAAGCAAAAATCAAAATCCCAGAAAGCAAGGATTACAAGACAGAAAAACACTAACCATAAGACAAATGATTGATAAATTGAACTACATTAAAGTTAAGAACTTCCATTCATTAAAAGACACTATTAAGAATATTAAAAAGACAAACCACAAAGTGGAAAAAGAAGTATTTATGATACACATAATCAATAAAAGACTTGAAACCAGAACATAGAGAATTCCTGTAAATCAGTAAGAAAAAGACAACTCTGTTTTTAAATGGACAAAAGACCTGAATAAACACTAATAAAATGGGAAATCCAAATGACAATCATACTAAGTTCACTACTAATCAGGGAAATGCTAATTAAAACCAATATGAGATATCATTATGCACCCAGTAGTTTAGCAAAAATTTAAAAGTCTGACAACATCAAGTGTTGATGAGGAACAAAGGCACTCTCATACACTATTTATTGGTGCCAGTATAAATTGGTACCACTACTTAAGGAGACAGTTTGACATTATCTGGTAAAGCTGAAGATCTACATACTCTGTAACTCCCTAAATCTACTCCTGGGTATATACCTTACACAAGTGCATGCACATATATAAGAATATTCATAGCAGCATAACTGACAGATTATATTACATTCATAATAGATATAAATTGGAAACAACCCAAAACAACTTAGTATGGATAGTCTCATGCCATATATTCACATGATGGAATGATACATAGTAATGACAAGCTAATTAAAAATAAATAATACAAACATAATGTTTTACAAAAAAGCAATTCCCAAAGTTGATTCCTTGTATGTAATGTTCAAAAACAGACAAAACTAAACTACTATATATATTATTTAGGGAGGCACACCTTTGTGGGGAGGAAGGGAGTTGTGATCAGAAAAGGAAGCTTCTAGGAATTTGGCAATGTTGTATTCCTCACAGGACCAATGGGTACATGGGTGTTTGTTCCATAACTATTTGTCAAACTGTATTTTTTAAGTTTTACCATTTTTCTGCATATATGCTGTTATATTCCACAATAAAATGTGTTTTTTTAAATCTTTGATTATTCTTGGCATTAAATGTCATCCCTTTGTCCTCTGCCCCATGCAACAATAAAGTGATTAAATAAATTTTGATACATCCATTCAAAAGAATATATGTTGTCAAACAGACTAAGGCAAATCCATATACACTAATACAGAAAGTGAAAACAATATGCACAATGGAACATAATTTGTATTTTAAGAGGATGAAAATTTTCTGGAAAGATAAATAAAAAATTGTCAGCAGTGGTAGTTTAGGAGTATGGAACTGAGGATTTGGGGCGAGAAAACTCATTTTTCATTCAATTTTATACTGCTTGAATCTGTTTCTACTATGTGCCTGTATTAAGTCAGAAAACCAACAAAAAACAAGTGTTAGGTAAAATGTAATTAGTGTATAGATCAGGCCTTGCAAAATTCTTCAACTTCCGTGTCACTTTATGTGGCCTCACTTTGGTTGGAATGACTCTCTCATCTACTTTATGCACAGGTTGATTCAGTATTGGCCTATTAAAATATACCTAGGGGGACTTCAGTGGCTAAGAATATGCCTGCCAATGCAGGGGACACAGGTTTGAGGCCTGGTCCAGGGAGATCCCACATGCCGCGGAGCAATGAAGCCCATGTGCCACAACTACTGAAGCCCACGCCCCTAGAGCCTGTGCTCCTTAACAAGAGAAGCCACCGCAATGAGAAGCCCACACAACACAACGAAGAGTAGCCCCTGCTCGCCACAACTAGAGAAAGCCCACATGCAGCGATGAAGACCCAACTCAGCCAAAAATAATAAATAAATAAATTAATTTAAAAAAAATATATATATACACACACACACCTAGGGAGGCAATGAAATTTTTACAAGTTACATTTCATAATAAGATCTTTTAAAAATCTTTTTTTTTTGGCAATACATGGGCCTCTCACTGTTGTGGCCTCTCCCGTTGCGGAGCACAGGCTCCGGTTGCGCAGGCTCAGCAGCCATGGCTCACGGGCCCAGCCGCTCCGCGGCATGTGGGATCCTCCTGGACCAAGACACGAACCCGTGTCCCCTGCATCGGCAGGCGGACTCTCAACCACTGCGCCATCACGGAAGCCCTGAAAAATCTTTTTAAAAAATCTTTTTAAAGGTATAACTGATATATAATAACTGCACATATTTACAGTGTACATATTTTTTTACATGTATCCATCCATGAAACCAATACCACAATAAAGATAATGAAAATATTCATCACCCTTAAAAGTTTCCTACACTTCCTTATAATTCATTCCTCCCCTAACATTGTCCCCAGGCAACCACTGATCTGTTTCTGTTACTATATATTAGTTTGCATTTTCTACTATTTTATACAAATGGAATCATAGACTATGTACTCTTTTTGGTCTGGCTTATTTCACTTAGATTATTATTTTGAAATTTATCTGTTTTGTTGTATATTTATCCTTTTTTATTACCAAGTAATATTCCATTCTATGGATCTATACATTTACCTTTTGATGAACATTTGAGTTGACTCTAGTTTAGGGCCACTACAATTAAAGTTGCTGTAACATGCATGTCTTTATGCGGGCACATTCTTTCATTTCTCTTGGGTATATTCCTAGGAGTGGAATGGCAGGGTTATGTGATAAGTATGTGTTTGACTTTTTAAGGCAATGCTAGACTAGTTTCCACAAGTGGTTGTATCATTTTATATTCCCATCAGTAGGATAAGGGAATTCCAGTTGCTCCACATTGTCACCAACACTCGATATGGTTAGTCTTAAATTTTAGCCATTCATTGATACATTAATAGTTACCTCATAATAAATTACTTCATTGTAATTTCTGTGTTTTCCTAATAATAAATGAAGTTAAGCATCTTTTCATGTGTTTATTTACCATTTGTATATGTTCTTCAGTGCAGTCACTTTTTAAGTCTTTTGACCAGTTTTTAGTTGGGTTGTATGTGTTATTATTGTTGAGTTATAAGATTTATTTATATATTTAGATACAAAGCTTTTGTTGGATATATTTTTTAAAAAATTATCTCCCTTCTGTGGCTTGCTCTTTTATTTTTGTCTTTTGAAGAGCAAATGTTCTGAACTTTTATAAAGTCCAATGTTTTTTCTTTTCCTGTCTTATAAAAATCTTGCCAAACCCAAGGTCACTAAGATTTTCTTCTGTAAATTTTATCTCCTACATGATCTATGAACGATTTTGAGTTAGTTTTTGTATATGATATAGGATAAATGTGTTGTAAGGTCTAAACTTTCATGTGTTACCTTGACACCCTTGTAACTCACAGTGCACCAAACGCCTAAGCATGAATTCCCTTGCTTTTGCCAGATATGCCCCCATCCAACGGGAAAGATTCTCCACCCAGCTAGTGCCCTTATCAGCCAGAACAGCTATATTTTATCCAGTCCTCAGCCTAATGGCTGCCATTTCACTGCCAACCCATGGAATTTTTTAAACAAGCCAGTCATATCCTCCCATGAGAACTAGGGGGCACCTCATCCTATTGGTACTATAAAGTCTGTCTCCCATGGCCCCTATGGGTTCACTCCATTCCTGAGTACAACCCCTGTGGCCCTGCATGACAGGCAGTGTCCTCCCTGGGCTGTGAGTCTATCTGACTAATAAACTATCAATCACATCTCTTTTCAAGGTTGGGTGTCATGTATTTGGCTATCTCATAGTGTTTAGAGTAGGGACTCCCTCCTTTACCAGTGGGGAAGGGAACCTCCATAGAGTTGAGGGTTTTGTTTTTGTTTTTTTGCATATGTCTATCCAATTGTGCCAGCATTGTTTGTTGAAAAGTGTATCTTTTCCCCATTAAATTACCTTGGCACCTGTGTTGAAAATCAATTTACCATGTAGGCGTGGGTCTATTTCTAGACTCCTTATTCTGTTCCATTGATCTATATATCTGCCTTTATACCAATACTGCACTTTCTTGATTACTGCAGTTTTGTGGTAAGTCTTGAAAGCAGGAAGTGTGTATCTTCCAACTAGTTCTTTTTCAAAGTTGTTTTGGCTATTCTAGTTCCTTTGTATTTCCTTATCAATTTTTGAATCGGCTTGTCAATTTCTACAAAAAAGTGACTCTACTGATTACTTTATGCTCAGGTAAATTACAACGTTAGCTTAAACAAAATATAACTGGGAATGTGACACATTTTATGAATTACATTGTATAATAACAAAAACCCTTTGTAGTATATCTGTTTTAATTCTTTCTGTCCATTAGTGGTAAAACTATGACTTAGTAGTGACTGGGTAGATAGCCTTAGGGTCATCCCAGACTTCACCTCCACAGTGTCCAATTTGTTTTATAGATTCCATCTCCTTCATAACTCCTTCTTCCCTTCTGTATTACACTCTGAGCCTTGTTTTTGGTTCTCATTCTTTAATTAATTATTTGTTAACATCCCCTGAAATCCCGGCTTCCAATCTGGTCCCTATCCAATCCACCCCTCTACTGTGACCACAGTGATTTTTCTAAAACACAAATCAGATCATGTTACTCTCCTCTTAAAATCATTTAGTGACTCTCCAGACCAACTATAACAGTTAGTCATTTGTACGTTCAAAATATTTTTATGCCTCCAGTATGCTCCAGGAACACTGTTGGGTACTGATTCCAAACTCTCTAGCTTAGTATATGAGTCTCACCATGAAGTGGTTTCTGAAAATATCTCCAGGCACATTTCTCAGCATTGACTCACATGAACCAGTATGTATTATACATTGTTTCCTCTGCCAGAAATGTCTTTCCCATCTTCTTCATCCAGCTAACACTCAGCTTTCAAGATGGTCCTCAACATTACCTCTGCTGGAAGCCTGTTCTACCCATACTGACTCAGCCCCCCCCCCCCATTGAGTTTTCACTTTATCACAGAGCTTTCCACACTGAATTATAACCACTGGTTTATTTCTTTCCTTCATTAGCTTGTAAGTTCCTTGCAAGTCCAAATTATTTCTAATTTGACTTTGTTCCTACATCCACTAGCACAAAGCCTGGCACATGGTAAGTTCTCAATAAATAATAACAATAAAGCTAATTGACATGTGAGGTACTATTCTAGAGCTTTACGTATATTATTTCATTTTCATGATCACCTTGTGGAGTAGTTCAGTTGCTCCCAGATTTTATAGAAACTGAGGCTCACAAAAGTTAAGCAACTTGTTCAAGGACATACTGCTAACAAGTGGTAGAGGAGGTCCATTTAAACCCAAAGCCTATACTCTTTTTTTTATTTTTTTTTTTGCGGTACGCGGGCCTCTCACTGTTGTGGCCTCTCCTGTTGCAGAGCACAGGCTCCGGATGCGCAGGCTTAGCGGCCATGGCTCACGGGCCCAGCCGCTCCACGGCATATGGGATCTTCCCGGACCGGGGCACGAACCCATGTCCCCTGCATCGGCAGACGGACTCTCAACCACTGCGCCACCAGGGAAGCCCAAAGCCTATATTCTTAAGCGCTATCAAAACTGGCTTCCTGATAGTTTAATGTATGAATGGTTAAATGAACAAATGCAGTTTTCAACTCGCCTGTCTCTTACTCAATCACCCAGTTAATTTTGATACCTGGGGAAATTCTTTCTGTAGGTTGCTGCTCAGACATCTTTGTGATTCTGGTTTGGGATCCCCTCGTTCCAGTTTCCTCAAGAGTGTACTTCTTTCCATGAGTAAGTGTGCAATCTGTTCACTAGGGCTGCTCAGAGCTATTTCAGACAAGCCTTCTTGATACAATATTTCGACCTCCTTTATTTGCACTTCTGTTAGGAAGAAACACCAGAAACACAATTGTTAAAAGAAATGCAGGCAAATAACTAAAAAGTAGTGGGAAAAGGTTCTCAAAAGCCGTAGATATTCTTACTACTTGCAGAAGTTTAAAATTTGTTCTTGCATAACTTTAAAGTGTATTGTTGTTTTAGTGAGTGCTTACTATGTGGCACGTATTGTACTAAGCATTTGAGATAAATCTATCTTATTTAATCTTTACAACAACCCAGTGAGGTAGGAACCATGATTTTCCCTTTTAAGAAATGAGGGCTCAGGCACCAAGAAACCAAGAAACTTGTCCACAGTCACTCAACTAATCCTGCCAACATTCTCGATGATTTCAATATTCAGGTAGATGATTATTCCAGTCCCCTGGCTTTTCAGTTCCTTTACCAGCTAATTTCCAAAGATCTAGTCCTCTACCCCACTCAGCCACCTACTCCACAGTAATTCCCTAGACCTGGTCATTAGCCTCTATAGTTTCTGTAACTTCTCCCTAGCTTCAATTTCTAACATCTTATCCTCCATTCATCCCTTCTTATGTACTAGCAGCTCAATTTCAGTAATTTTTGACCATACTGGAAACTATCATCCATTGACTTTAAACACTTTTCAGTGTTCCTTATCCCATTCCTCTTCTCACTTACCCAGCTTAGATTCTATAGTCCATCATTACAATCACTCCCTTGAAAACATTCACAACTCTCTTGCCCCTCTTTCCTTCCATTATACTTGGTGACAAAACCCCAACCTGTTTAAATCCAGCTCTTCACCAGCACACTCCAGAAGCTGGATGGGGCTACAGAAAACTGCACAGGTAGTGCTGAGAGGTTTCATTTCAAACTCACGACTACTAACCTCAAGTGAGCCCTTACTGCTGCCCAGCAATCCTCCTACATTCCCCTGCTTGTTTCATCCCTCTCCCTCATCATATCTCTAATACCTCCTTCCCCATCCTCACTCTCACCTGAATACCCTACTTTTTTTTTTTTTTTTTTTTTTGTACGCGGGCCTCTCACTGTTGTGGCCTCTCCCGTTGCGGAGCACAGGCTCCGGATGTGCAGGCTCAGCGGCCATGGCTCACGGGTCCAGCTGCTCCGCGGCATATGGGATCTTCCCAGACCGGGGCACAAACCCGTGTCCCCTGCATCAGCAGGCGGACTCTCGACCACTGCACCACCGGGGAAGCCCGAATACCCTACTTCTTATTTCACCGAGAAAAGAGAAGCACTCTGAAGAGAGCTTCCACAAGCTCCCCTACCAAATCTGCCACCTCCCCCGCACTCTTCCCTCTTGTGAGATGTAACAAACTACCCTTGGCTCCTAAGGCCAGCACCACCCCCGCCCCCCTCCCCCCCTTGTACACTGGATCCCATTCCCTCTCCTCTCAAAGATAAAACTCCTGCAGTTGACTCTGATCTCTATTGCCTCATGCAGCTTTCTTCCCAACTAATCATCTTAGAGACATGGTATAACATCTCCCATTAAAAACAACAGTGATGAAAACAACAAAAGTTTTTCTTCAAACTCATAACGCCCTCCAGTTCCTCCACCATTTCTTCATTTCTCTTTGCAGCACAACTTCAAGAAAGTATCAAAAAAAAAAAAAGAAAGGATCAACCACAGCCATGTCCCCTCCCCTTCTCCTACCATTCTTTCCTGAATTCACTCCAATGGCTTTCATATCCACCACTCCACAGAAACAGCTCTCCTCAAAGTCACAATGACCCCCATGTGACCAAACCCAATGGTCAATTACCTGTCCTCACTCCACATAGCCTATCAATGGTATTTGACCCAATTGTTCCCTTCCTTTTCTTAAAACACTTCCATCATTTCTCTTATGGGACACCACACTCTGCTAGGTTTCCTCCTACCTTTCATGCCACTCCTTCTCAGACTCCTTTGCTGATTTCTTACCTTTCCAACCTCTAAACACTGGAATGACCTAGGGCCCAGCTCTGAATCTTCTTCTTTTTACTCCCTAGGTTATCTCCTACAGTCCTAAGGCTTTAAATATTTGCTATATGCTGATGACCCCCAAATTTATATCTCGAGTTCACATTGCGTTCCAAACATATACAAAATTGTCTACTTGACCTTTCCACTTGGATGCCTAATATTCACATCCAATGTAGATGTCCAAAAGCAAACTCTTTACGGTGTTCCCCAAATAGGACCTCCCATGGTATCCCCCATCTGAGTAGTTAGGAACTCCAATATTTCAACTACTCAGGCCAAAAAGCTTTGGGTCACCAGTAATTTCTCTCCTTTTCTCCCACCAACATGAAATCCATTACCAAATCATGTTAGCTCCACCTTCAAAAGACATCCTTTAATTACAGAAGCATTTCTGATGTGATTGAGGTATGTGTTCCTAAAACAAACAAGTAAACTTGTATTTCGCAAAACTGCTCTCTAAAAATAATGAGGTTTATGGAAAAAAGGTTGGCATAGAGCACTCAAAACCTTTGTCATTGTGTAGCTAGAGTGCTATAAAAAACACTGACAATCCTAATATTATACTGGTAGATTTAAACAGATGTGTCAAATTCCTAAAAAATAGAGGAATACTATAGCAAATATAGGACTCTGTATTCTTTTAAAAAATCAGGTTTACTGTAAAGGTGAGCTAATGAAGGAGCTGAGTCTGCAGAGTTGGAAACAAAGGCAAAACGCAAAAGATTAGTAATATCTTTGCAATAAGCACTTCCAAGACAAAACATGTGGCCAAACAGCCCAGAAGAGGAACATGGGATGAACGGGCTTTATGTATAAACTCCAAGGCTTGCTGGCAGCCCAAATCACTAACATGTCGGGGAAAATTACATGTGAACTTCCACATTATAGTGACATCACTCCCCTACTTCCCAATCCTTCACGAGCTAATTTACGTTAGGAGCAGGGCGTAGAGTAGCTTCTGCTTCTTACAGTATGGCAGATTAGAGCCCTGAACAGCCCTGCTGCCGAGAACAACTAAAAATGTCAGAAGAAATTTTTAAAACTCTTAAAATGCAACCACCATATGAACAAAACTAGAATGCAAGCTTTTAAGCCAGAAGAAGAAAACTCAATTATCCAATGGATAACAAAAAAGGGGAAAAAAATGAAACCCGAGTGAAGTACATATGAATTATGTCCTGTGATTAGCTCAATTTTCTCTGCACCTGAGATTCAAAATATAGAAAAACCTTCCATCAACAGACCATTATGAAAGGAAGTTCTAAAATGAAAAAAGGAAAATGATCCCAAATGGGATATCTGAGATGCAAGGAAAAATGCTGAGCAAAGAAAATCATAAATGTGTGGCAAATGTAAATAATCACTGACCATATATCATAATAATACCTAATTTATGGAGTTAAACAAATACAGTATTCTAAAGGGGTCCTATCTGTATCTTCCCTTGTAGCTTTGGAGCACTTAATAAACATTTCCTGAGCCCTTAACATGCTAGGTACTTTACGAGGCCGGTGCTGTCAAAAACACGGAAACCAGGAAGACTAGAATGAGATCTCTGCCCCAGAAGCGCTGACATAGGTAGTTAGGACATAGTGTGGTAAGTGCTGTAATCGACATTAAAGAAAATCACCACTCTGTAATCTCTCACACACATTTGAGAATATTTCAGAATGCATACCTTAAAAAGACAGGCAGAAAATACACCTAAAACATTACAAGTACTTTTCTTTCTTTTTTATAAATGTATTTATTTATTTATTTTTGGCTGTGTTGGGTCTTCGTTGTTGTGCGCAGGCTTTCTCTAGTTGCCGAGAGCGGGGGGCTATTCTTCCTTGTGGTGCACGGGCTTCTCATTGTGGGGGCTTCTCTGGTTGCAAAGCACGGACTATAGGCACGTGAGCTTCAGAAATTGTGGCTCAGGTGCTCTAGAGCGCAGGCTCAGTAGTTGTGGCACACGGGCTTAGTTGCTCCGTGGCATGTGGGATCTTCCTGGACCAGGGCTCGAACCCGTGTCCCCTGCATTGGCAGGCGGATTCTTAAACACTGCCCCACCAGAGAAGCCCTACAAGTACTTTTCTTGAGGTGGAGGACATGTAGTAATTTTTTTTCCTTCCTTCTACTTTTACACATTTCCCAAATTTTCTGTAATTGTCTCATGCTAATTATTAGAATTAGGGAAAAAATTAAAATTTACATGTTTACAAAAGGAAAAATTACCCGGTTTGAGTTGGAGCCCTTTAAACTCATGTCTAGGCTGCTTGCTTTCCTTTTCGTAACCATGAGAAAATGCTTCCTTTTCCTCTGGCAAGTTACAGACACGGTTTGCATAATTTTCTACCTAAGAAGAAAAGAATACATTTTCTTACAAGTCTATGAAGTGAAAGAGCCACTAAGAGATCACCATACTATCAATGTTTATAATCTAAGAAATAAACAGAAAATTCAACTTGGCTTAAGTGTGGGTCTCTCTCCCTAAACTCCCTTCCAGCTGTCATATGTTATCAGACACTGTTTCCCATAGATAGGATGACACATCACCACAAATTTCTGGGACAGTCACAATCGCTGATATTTTTTCCCATTAACAAATCAGGTTTCAAATCAAGTCTCCTTATCTATGGTTTAGGAAATATGGTCACGATACTCAGGAACAGAGAAGTATCTACACAGTTATTTTATATCTTAAGCAAAACTCATGATTAAGATGTCTTAAATGCTAATAGGAGCTTGTATTAAAATAAACTATTGGGTATTCTTTAAAAATAGTTTCTGATTAATATGACAGCTTCACAAAAGGCACTTTTATGTGGCTAATAATAATAGATTGAAAGCTAACTATATGCTCCAGGTACTATGTTAAGGACATCAAATATTGAGTTTTCACCACAACCCTGTGACACTGTTATCTCCCACTTCATAGGTGAGGGCGGTTGAGAGAGGCTGACGGACTTGTGTTGTCAAGCAAAGTGGAAAGCGGGGAGCCAGACTTCACACTGAGGTGGGCCAGAGCCAGAGCCTGAGCTCTTACTGTGCCAAATTGCTTAGAAGGAGACTACCAAATTAACTGCATTTTGCTGAACTGTGTTGAAGCCTTTTTCGGGGACAACTGCTCAGAATATGAACAAAAAGCTGAATGATATAGTAGAAGGAACACAGAACTGCAGTCCAACTTTATCACTCCCTGGTATGCTTCAGTTTCCTCCTCTTTAAAATGGCAGGAACAATACTACCTATTTCTAATAATAACAGTTATAATTTATTGAATACTTGCTGGGTGCCAAGTACATATGTGAAATGTTTTCTACACGTTAATATGTGTAAACCTCACAAATCCTTTTGAAGGAGCTGTTATCATCTCCAACTTACGGAAGAGAAATTTCAAGCTCAAAGAAGTTGAGTAACTTGCCCAAGGTTACACAGAGAGTCAGTGCCAAAGGCAATTTTTCACCCCCAACTGCCTAATGTTAAAGTTCATGGTCTACTATGCTATCCTGCTTTTGTTCTAAAGGAGCTGTACTCTTCTTTAAGAGTTTGGAAATCAAACTGCCCTCTAAGAGTTAAATTTAAAAATCAACAAGTTAGCTGAGCTGAGCTGTCAAAACACAACACAGTGATCTGCAAGCAACCTGAGAAAATTTTATTAACTCATTTAAAGAAAGTAGCTTATATATAAGAAAGTAGGTTGATCAATACTGGACACATCAAAAAGAGTGATTAAAGAGTCAAAACGTGCCATTATCTGCTCATCTAAGGGCTAGGTACCCTGGTTCTAGGATATAACAGGTCCAGAAATAAGGGCAGGTATGAATAGCTTTATGGTGTAAATCTGGCTACCTTAGCTAGTGCTCTAAAAAATTAGAATCATTTGTTCAGCAAGTAGACATTTGATTAAAATTTGGCTTCCTATGTAGTGTGCCTGTAGGGAAAAAAGGCATCAGTCACAGGATACATGTGTCTGGTTCCTTTGGCAGTTATATTTCTCACTGTCAACTAAAAAGCTAGTATCTATTTTTCTACAAACTTCTCTGTGAGTTTGGTCAACACAAGGTCACCTTTGAGAAGCAGATCCACTCACAGTACACTGACTAATCAGGTTTCTAAGCCTACTAGGAGGAGAGTCAGCTAGAGGGTTGGTTATTGATACAAGGATGAATTTACCAAGATAATGAAAGCACGTTGAGCAGACCTATTTGGATAGTCAACTAGTCATCTCTGGGCAATGTCCTGTACATGTACTCTATTGGAAACCAATACAGCTTGTTGACATATTTCATTAAAAGAAAAGTGTACATGTGGGTGCTTTGCAAATTATACACTGATATTCAAATGCTGGTTTTTAATATGTTAATATAATGAAGGACAATGAACAAAACCAGAGCCATCTTTTTTTCTTTTCTTTTTGGCTGCGCTGCACAGCATGCGGAACTTCCCTGACCAGGGATTGAACCCGTACCCCCTACACTGGAAACATGGGGTCTTAACCATTGGACCACCAGGGAAATCCCAAAACCGCAGCTATCTTAAAACTTTATGATATTAGTTCTTACTTCTTTAATTTCTTCCATGTGCTTCCCTGACAGCTCTTCTAGATTTCTGGTAGCAGTCCTCAGCCTGTCTTTGCTGTAACAAGCACCAGACAAAGTAGAGTTGTTCTTCTGTAAAGGCAAGGAGTTCAATCCCTTCTTTCTCAAGATGGTGAAGTAAGTCTTCTAATTGAACTTTTCCCTTGATAAAAAAGATAAGCATATGTGTATGTATACACACGTTTAAGTATACAACTGAGCATGCAAGAAATCTCATATGTACAGTTAGACTCTCTACAAAGTATAGTTTAGTTTTCCTATTAATTAATGGTTATGTTATCCATTTATAATGAGCACTTACATGAAATAGCTAGCAATACAAAAAATATTAAAGCTTTGAAGAGTTGTATTATATCTTCTAAAATAAGAAATGACATGAAATATATGCGTTAAAAAAAATCAGCTTTCTGTCTGCCCAGTTCTGAATTTTGCAATTTAATAATATGAAAATCTCCCACAGGCCCCTTGCGATGTTATAAATTCCAAAGAAGTTTCTATCATTCTTTTGAATATTTATAAATAAAAGGACTCCTCTGGAAGCTAGAGAGCCCATTACTTCTGTACTATCAAGGAACTATTTTGCTCACAGAATATGTCTTATAATTTTTGTTGACTTCTAAGTCATTCAACTCTCTTTTAACACTTCTTGATCTAAGCCTGCCATAGATATTGTCTTTAATTTTTTTTAACTTGGAAGTAGTCATGCTACCTAACAGCTTGCACTACATGGTGGGGGAGATATAAATGTCTGCTGATTGATGAAGTGGTATCTGTATTACTAGAATCACTAACTGTGAATATGACTTGCTGGTACAATCAAACATAACTTTTAACCAAGTTAATCTGACCCAGGTTGTAGGGATAAGCATAACTGTTATTGTACTGCAGCTAGTCTACATAATTATATTCAGTTTTGCTTTTTAAGAGCAAAACTATATTTTGATTATTTTTATCTTTTCTTGCTAAGTTTTCCAGAGTCGCATCCTTTTCACATCAACAGTTTTTGTGGACGATAAACAGAATGTTAATTATCATCTGATAATTAAAAAACAAAAAAGGGGACCCGGATCTGAATCTTTGTGCCCCCATGTGTCCTCCCTATGACTTACAGCTAAAAGTCTTCTCGTGCTCCTCCCCACTCTACCCCCATCATCTGGTCCGCACTCTTACCCTCCTCCCTACAAGGTTTTTTAGCACTATTCAGTTCCTTGTGGTTTTAGTCCTGGGTATCAGGGCACACTAGGAATACATTACATTCTATGAGGCTTATTTGACAATACAGAAAAATGTTTATGTTATAATAAAGAGAAAAAGTAGACATAAAGGTATTATTACAACTATGGTAAAAAGCAGACACAGAAGGAAAAGAATGGAAGCAAACACATCAAAATGTTAAAACACAGTTGTGATAAACTGATGAGATTGTGAATAATTAGAAAACAAATGTTTGAATTATTACATGTCCTATACTGGGAGTTGTTTGCCCCCGGAGAGTAGCATAGCCCCCACCCCCCATGTTGTGGGGTGGAGTGGGAGAGTCTTAGGCTGGAGGAAGTGGAAAGGAGAAGGGGATGGGGGATACTGAGAATACCTTTGGATCCTTGGCTTCTGGGAGATTTGGGGTATCAGAAGGTAAGCAGGGATATAGGAAGAAGGGGCTTGGCTGGTCAGGAGGGCGGTAGAGGCTGCAAGTCAATACCCAACTCATCCAAGCTCCTAGACTGAACACCCTTCCAAAGCCAGAGATCTTTAACCTCCATTCCACTTAGTCATCCATGCCCATGGCTACAACCAAGCTCTTGCCATAGCCTAAACTACTGTTGAAATCCTGCAGTCCTCAGCTCCAAATGTCCCACTCTGATCACCACCTTCTGCTCTTTTCTGTGTGTGTGGTAAATTCATGAAACTTAAAATTTACCATTTTAACCATACTTAAGTGTAGAATTCAGTGGCATTAAGCACATTCACACTGTTGTGCAATCATCACCACTATCCATTTGCAGAACTTTTCATTATCCCAAACATAAACTCTGTACCCATTAAACAATGAGTTCCCATTTCCCACTGTATTCTTCTTTCTGTAGCTATAAATCTGCCTATTCTAGGTACCTCATATAGGTGGAATCCCACTTTTGTCCTTTTATTTCTGGCTTATTTCCCTTAGCATAATGTCTTTAGATTTCATCCACTTTATAGCATGGATCAGAATTTCCTTCCTTTTTAAGGTGTAATAACATGGCATTGTATGTATTTTGTTTATCCATTCATCTGTTGATGGACATTTGGGTTGTTTCCACCTTTTGACTATTGTGAATAACGCTGCTATGAACACTGGTGTAACAAGCATCTGTTTGAGTCCCTGCTCGTTGTTTTGGAATTGCTGGATATATAAATCTATGTTTAACTTTTTGAGGAACTGCCATAAAAATATAAATAATAACCATAGTAATGGGTATGAAGTTGTTGCTTTCTTAAACCATACTTATTCTATAATAATAGTTGAACCCTCCAGTCCCTGGACCATTACATCCTCTCTCAAACTACCAGAAACTCTTTGGTTTCACTTATTTACCCCTCAAGCCTGGACCCAACTGTTGTTCATTTCAATCAATCTCTCACCAATGTCCCCAGTTATCTAGCTCCTTGTCTCACCTTCCCTGCAAACCCAAACCCAGGGGAAAGTTTGACCAGTTGACTTTCCCCTGCCTAATTTTAGTTTGCTGAGTTGCTGGTAGAGAAAAACACAACAAGTATGCAGACCGGAGCCACTACAAATCCATGGTCTGCAGCCTGGGCCAAGCTCCTTTACTTGCATAGGTCATTCTATGCGCTTTGCCAGTTTCTGCTACCATTTCACTCTGTAAATATTCAGGATTTCCATCTCTCCCATCAAACTCCAAATCTCACGTCTCCCCTCCACCTCTCCCACCAAACTCCAAATCTCACCTCTCCCCTCTGCTGGTCGACGACCTTGTCTCCCATAGCACTAGTAAAACTAAGGCCATCATAAAACTCTGGATATCACCACCGGCGTTCGTTAGTGGCTGCATAAACCTGGGAAGTTTTCTTTGTCTTTAAGATCCGTGATTCTCCTAAGACTTGTTAAACTAAAAGTTACAATGGTTAGCACAACAAACTCCACCATTAGGAAACTCTTCTGTTTAGAAATAAAGACTATCGGAAGATGGTGGAAGAGTAAGACACGGAGATCACCTTCCTCCCCACACATACACCAGAAATGCATCTACACGTGTAACAACTCCTACAGAACACCTACTGAACGCTGGCAGAAGACCTCAGACCTCCCAAAAGGCAAGAAACTCCCCCACGTACCTGGGTAGGGCAAAAGAAAAACGAATAGGCCCGTGAGCCATGACCGCTGAGCCTGCGCGTCCGCTGCGCAGCGGGAGAGGCCCGCGTACCAGGAAAAAAAAAAAAAAGAATAAACAGAGACAAAAGGATAGGGACGGGACCTGCGCCAGTGGGAGGGAGCTGTGAAGGAGGAAAGGTTTCCACAGACTAGGAAGCCACTTCGCGGGTGGAGACTGTGGGTGGCGGAGGGGGAAAGCTTCGGTGCCGTGGGGAAGAGCGCAGCAACAGGGTGCGGAGGGCAAAGCGCGGAGATTCCCGCACAGAGGATCGTTGCCGACCGGCACTCACCAGCCCGAGAGGCTTGCCTGCTCACCCGCCGGGGAGGGCGGGGCTGGGAGTTGAGGCTCGGGCTTTGGTCGGAGCTCCAGGAGAGGACTGGGGTTGGCGGCATGAACACAGCTTGCAGGGGGCTAGTGCACCACAGCTAGCCGAGAGGGAGTCCGGGAAAAAGTCTGGAGCTGTCTAAGAGGCAAGAGACTTTTTTCTTCCCTCTATGTTTCCTGGTGCGCGAGGAGAGGGGATTAAGAGCGCTGCTTAACGGAGCTCCAGAGACGGGCACGAGCCGCGGCTAAAAGCGCGGACCCCAGAGAAGGGCATGAGATGCTAAGGTTGCTGCTGCCGCCACCAAAAAGCCTGTGTGCGAGCACAGGTCACTAGCCACATCCCCCTTCCAGGGAGCCTGTGCAGCCCGCCACTGCCAGGGTCCCGGGATCCAGGGACAACTTCCCCGGGAGAACTCACGGCGCGCCTCAGGCTGGTGCAACGTCACGCCGGCCTCTGCCGCCGCAGGCTCGCCCCACACTCCGTACCCCTCCCTCCCCCCGGCCTGAGTGAGCCCGAGTCCCCGAAGCAGCTGCTTCTTTAACCCCGTCCTGTCTTAGCGAAGAACAGACGCCCTCAGGCGACCTACACGCAGAGGCGGGGCCAAATCCAAAGTTGAGCCCTGGGACCTGCGAACCGAGAAGAGAAAGGGAAATCTCTCCCAGCAGCCTCAGGAGCAGCGGATTAAAGCTCCACAACCAACTTGATGTACCCTGCATCTGGGGAATACCTGAATAGACAATGAACCATCCCAAATTGAGGAGGTGGACTTTGAAAGATTTACGATTTTTTCCCCTTTTCCTCTTTTTGTGAGTATGTATATGTATGCTTCTGTGTGAAATTCTGTCTGTATAGCTTTGCTTCCACCATTTGTCCTAGGGTTCTATCCGTCCGTTTTTTTGTTTTAGTTTTTTTCTTAATAATTATTTTTTTATTTTAATAACTTTATTATATTTTATCTTATTTTATTTTACTTTACCTTTTCTTTCTTTTTTTCCTTCCTTCCCTCCATCCTTCCTTCCTCCCTCCCTCCTTTCTTTCTTTCTTTTTCTTTCTTTCATTCTTTCTACTTCTACTAATTCTTTCTTTCTACTTTTTCTCCCTTTTATTCTGAGCCGTGTGGATGAAAGGCTCTTGGTGCTACAGCCAGGAGTCAGTGCTGTGCCTCTGAGGTGGGAGAGCCAACTTCAGGACACTGGTCCACAAGAGACCTCCCAGCTCCACATAATATCAAACAGCAAAAATCTCCCAGAGATCTCCATCTCAGCACCAGCACCCAGCTTCACTCAACGACCAGCAAGCTACAGTGCTGGAGACCCTATGCCAAACAACTAGTAAGACAGGAACACAACCACACCCATTAGCAGAGAGGCTGCCTAAAATCATAATAAGTCCACAGACACTCCAAAACACACCACCAGATGTGGACCTGCCCACCAGAAAGACAAG